AGTCCATGGGTTTCACCATTTTGATATCAGAGCCTGAAGTTCCAGATGTAGAGCCTGGGATCTTCATTGTAGACGAGCTCTGCAAAGCCGTGATCTCGCTCTCTGCGGTCGCCAAGGTGTTCTTCATGATTGTCACCCTGACCCTCAGGTCTGTGTTCTCGTTGTTGGCTACTACCAAGCTGTCGTTGAGGACGTTGAGCTGCTCCTGCATGCGATCTATCAAGCGTCTGGTGTACTCCCTTTCTTCTGTGATGACAGTGTTGATTATGTCCAAAATGCTCTTGTGGGTGATGGTAGTCGACCCGGGCCCTGAGATGCCTTGCGGTGCAGAAGGGCCTTCAATTGGGGTGGTGGATGATTCTACAGATGGGAATGGTGGGAGCCATTGCTGCAGCACTGGGGAGTGGATTGCACTTCTTGGCAGAGTGGTTACTGGCTGTATCACTGCTGGAGCCATCATCACTTCTATATCCTCTGAAGCGATGATCCCAGTTTCTCCTAGATTCTTGGACATGGAAGAAAGAGCAATGGGAATCCAAACAGGAAACATTGTTGTGCAGTGCAAAAGCCCTAGCCTCGACTAGGCAGGATCTGAACGGCAGGGCAATGATGACAAAGGTGCGAATGCAGCGCGTGTAGCAGTTCATCAACCTAAGTAGAACTCGAGAGGAGTTCGTGAAAGACGCGGTGAACTTTGGGTCTACTTTTAGCATCCTAGGTTCCTATTGTAAAAGTATTTAGACTGTGAGAGGACAGTCACGAGTGCCATTCTGTTATGTAGAAAACAGATATGTAGCGTACAGTTGGCAGGGTTTTGGGCCTAACTGCAGACGTGCGGAAACAGGACCTAAGTGTCACTGATCATTATGAACTGGCGGCTCGTAGTAAGACGAGGGCCTGGTTCACTTCTACTAAAGAGTGATGTAAAGAGATTGATATAACAAAAAACGCGTTGGGGAATGATGGTTGAATTAAAATGTAATCCGCGAGATAAATCTCAGCAGAATAGCACAATGAAGTTTATCAAGAACGGCGACGTCCAAGATAAAGTTCGAGTCGGAGTGGTAAGAAGACTTAACCTAATGTTATGATGAACGTTCACCAAATGGTAAAGATCAGATCACAACCACTAGGACTCGGTCACAGATGATGATAAGACAAGATAGGATTGAGCGTGAACGTCTAAGTCTACTACAAGTGTAGAAACGAAGAGGTTAAGTCTAAGGAGTACTTACACTAACTAACCTACTTATATACATAACATTGAATAGGAGTTATCTGAGTCTTAAAAGAAATCAGCCAATGAGAACAGAGTCGTACGATACTGCAGATGACTGAGCATGACATCATGATATATAAGCAGATGAGTAATATGGCAACTAAACAGAAACCCAAGCTCCAACCGATTCTTTTTTGGGAAGCGAGATTGTTCTAGCCTGTGGAGTAGGGGAGCCAATCAGAGAAACCACGGGTGATATGTGAAGAGGTGAAGGTGTGACAGTAAGTGAGGTCATGTGATTGGTTTGGTAACTAGAAGTAGCTGGAGGGAAGCCGAGAAATGAAAAATGGTTCATATTTGGAATTCATGACAGTATTATGTAAGTAAATCAGTCAGCAAAGTAAAGGCTATGTACAAAGCATGTGGAAAGTCTATTAGTAAGTGTATAATGGATCAAAGCAGTGAAGTCAGAGATGAAGTACGAATGGATGGATCAGTAAGCATAGCGGAGAGAACATAACTGGTAGCCAGAGGACGGTTATTCTAAAAGGAGATAGTGGGGAGTATGGAGATGAAGGCGGAGCACCAGGCAGATATCAGGATAGAGAACCGGACTTAAGTGGGGGAGATCCGGAGGTATGGGATATGATACATAGCACCTCCTTGGTGGTGTGAGTTGCTGCAACATATCCACTTTCAGTGGTTGACAGTGACACAATCTCTTGGCGTTTCAATGACCATGACATGGCTCCTCCATCTATCAGAAAAGCATACCCTGAAACTGCTCATCTATCCTCTGCCATGCTTCTGTCCATGTCTGCATATCCCATCAACACACTTTCTGTGCCTCCATAGGTTAATTTTAGATCTGTTGTGCCAAGCAGATACCAGTAGATGTGACACACAGCATCCCAGTGTGCTTGCCCTGGGTTGCTCGAAAAATGTGACACAGATGTGACTGCATAGGAAATGTCAGGTCAAGTATCAAGAGAAGCGTACATCAATGATCCAATGGCTTCACAATATGGGACGTGGCACATAGCTGCATAGTCTTATTGCAGTTATGTGATACTTCTATCCCAAGCAACCGGTGGAGTTCCCCAAGATCAGTGATCTTGACGTGCACTTGGATCTGGTCTTTGAGTTTTGCAATGGCATCAATTGAAGATGCGGCAATGGTACAGTCATCAACATGAATGACAATAATGACTAACTCACTTCCAGAGTGTGAGCAAGACTACTTGAACTCCAAATAGAGGACTTACCCATAGCAATGTGGTACACTTCAGAATGGTCTGTGAGTTGATAGTAGCAATCCAATGTTTTTTTTTAGCAAGTCCAATGGCAGCACAAATTGAGGGCTGATAGTTAATGTTCTTAGAATACATTGTGAACTTTTTGTCCATTAAATCCATTGCTGGAATGATGGTAGGGAGATTGGGTGTTGACTGCAAGAAAAACATTGTTGCATCTTTGAGAATCTGGTTAGGGTTCCATTTTGGTTCATTAGTAAACAATGAGCTACATCTATATGCCATGCATCTTCAGAATGTCTCATAGCTGGTCTATGATTAACCACTCATGATACGACAGCTTGAGATCTCTCAAACCTGAGTCTCTTTGCTGTGTAATCACATTGACTGCTTTTTGGTGTTTCAAGACATATGCAAGCATGTCAAACATGGAATTCCAGCATGTTGCCACATCTCGTGGGATGTTGGTAACTGGCCTTTGCTGTTCTTGAAAGATGTTGTGCCATGCGGGCAGGAGTTTTGTTGTGGAGTGAATGACCTTGAACATGAGCTTCTGAAGCTGTGTGATATGTTTGTGTTAGAGACCGTGCTCAGATGGAGAAGCAGAGGGGTCGGGGCTTGGCTTCAGCTCTTGTGCTGCGCCCTTAGCTGAGTATGTGCCCTGAATTTGGAGTGGGTCCGACAATAGGATGGGCAGACTGCTTTGGTCTGCTTTTGTGGGTCAGGAGGTAAATGCTACTAGCAGTAATCCAACTAGAAGTGGAGCGGGGGAAGTGGAGGAAGTGTGTTGGGAAGGAGGGAAGTAAGGGGATTGGTTTTGGTTGGGTCGGAGAAGTAAGAGCGAGTACTTAGAGTGTGGCTCTAAGTCGGAGCAGAGGGTCAGAGGTGACAACAAGGTAAACTTGTGTCTGGAGAGGGAGCAAAGTCCTATGGAGAATTCCCACTAGTAGAGACTGCGGGAAGACAAGTAATATTCAGACTGGGGAGCAGCTAAGTACATGGTATGTTTATATACTTTTATGTAGGAGGCAGTGACTAGTAGTCCTTAGTATGAGGCTATGTACCAAGTATACAATTTGTAAGTGAACACAGGTGAAAAACATAAGTTGGAGTGGATATCAATATGTACGTGTCGGATCAGTTAGACGAGCGGTTATGGGAAGTACCAGTGATCCAGGAAGTAAGTACTATGTGTCAATGGAGAAAGTATATACCTAAAAGGGGAAAGGGGTTCCAGTGGAGTGGAAATGATGCGGAGGGTAACCAATGAGGCGGTCAAGTGGAACCATAGGAGCCAATGCAGGAGCCGACTGGGTTGAGCAGAGGACAGACAGAGTGGAGGTGGTTGGAAAGCGGAGAAAGTGTGAGGTCGGGTGGAGCAGATATTAATATCATCAGAGTGATCAGATCAGGTATATGACAGTTTGTTAAGGTATGTTTTTGATTTATTCTACTGTGCAGACCTTAACAAATACCAGCTTAACTGGATGAATGTTCTGTTGCAGGCTCTTGTGTACATCATGTGTCAAGAATCATTGTCGACAATATGGCCGTCACCGCCAACCATATCTCCCACATCAAGCACTTTAAGGCGCAGCTACTCAAATTCTTTGAGATATTGGACCTAGGGGAGCTTAACTGGTTGTTAGGACTCAAGGTAACAAGAGATTGCAAAGCGTGTACCTTGACTCTCTCCCAAAAGGCATACATGGACACCATAGTTGAACAGTTCTACCTAGGGGATGCAAAAAAAGTGTTAATGCCAATGGAACCTGGTGTCATCCTATCTATCGATCAGTCTCCCAGCACAGCTAGAGGCAATGCACAATGTACCTTACCAACAAGCCATTGGATCCCTCATGTACGCAGCCACCAGCACGCGACCTGACATAGCATTCGCCATTGCCACCCTGTCGCAGTTCATGTGCAACCCTGGTAGGACCCACTGGGAGGCCACCAAGTGAGTAGTTTTCTGCAGGGGTATGGGTAACCCATGGGTTTTTCACTGGTTTTTCCACAGGTATGGGTAGGGGTACAGGAATTTGAACCCGTGAGAAACCTGTACCCGCAGCTATGTACCCATGTATCTGTTAGTAATAAAACTCAATTTATAATAAGGCAATTAAATCACGTCTTTGTTCAACCTTTACCATGGCAGGTACCACAAAAGCTAAGAATAAAGCTCCTGGCAAAGTCAAGCATACAAAACATCTATGCAAACCCTCTTGCGATCTCACAAGAAATCCATAGCAACTCGCAAAGTCTCTACCTCTGCATCTAGAGCTTCAACGCTATCCTCCACTGGAGGATTTTCACAAAGGGCAACAGTTCAAGACTCCAATGACGATGATGATGATGATGAACCGAGTCATGTTGGGGGCAGTCTCAATGCCGATGGAGATGTAACAATGGAGGCTGTGGAAGAGGTGGAGGACAGTGAAGAAGAGTTGGTGGCTGAGGACGAAGACAGTGAAATAAGTGAATCTAGTCCTGGGTGCTGTATTATACGATGCTGAAGGTTGACAGGACGACTTTCGAAAGACTGGACAGCACCCATTTATGCATTCTTCAGGTCCACCCCTACCATCGAGTACATCAATGGCCGCCGATGCCACTTGTTCCAATGTGCAGCAACAAACTGTAAACACAAAACACGGGGGGTGAGGAGATATCTTGATACGAGCCCCTTCAGTGACAAACTCTGTATTATACGAGGCAACTGATGTGCATAATATCCTGTATAACACGGGCCAGCGGACCATGGGCCGATGATGAAGATATCCTCGATGTTAATGGATGGGCCGGGAGGGATATTATTACCGATGAATATGGGTGGGCCCATCTAGGTAATATGTAGAGTAGGATGGACATGTATATTATAGACAGGTGGGCTGAAGAGAGATGTATATTATATAGACGGGTGGGCCGATGTAGTGGTATTATTATATAAACAGGTGGGCCGGAGGAGCAGTTTATTATATATGATATAGACAGGTGGGCCGACGTAGGGTATATTACATAGACTGGTGGGCCGAGGTAGTAGTATGTTATATAGATGGGTAGGCCGGAGGAGCAGTTTATTATATATGATATAGATGGGTGGGCCGAGGTAGTAGTATATTATATAGATGGGTGGGCCGGCGTAGGGCATATTACATAGACAGGTGGGCCGAGGTAGTAGTATATTGTGTAGACGGGTGGGCCGACTTAGGGGTATATCATGTAGATGGGTGGGCCGAGGTAATTGTTATCATATAAACGGGTGGGCCAAGAGAGCGATTTATTAGATATTATATAGACGGGTGGGCCGAGGTAGTTGGATATCACATATACGGGTGGGCCCAGATACGTATCATATAGACATATGGGCTGAGGTGGTAGTATATTATATAGATGTATGGGCCGAGGTAGTAGTATATTATATAGACGGGTGGGCCGAGATGGTTGATATCATATAGACGGGTGGGCCCAGAAGAATGAGTGTTATAAACATCAGTGGGCTGAGATAGTTGGATAACATACTAATCAGTGTGCTGATGTAGGCACCAGTACATACCCACTGACAAAACTTTGAGTGAAGCGGATGGAATCCGTTAGTACCCTAAGCGATGCGGATCGGGTCCGCGGATACACCTAAGTAAAGCAGATGGAATCCGCACTCAGCTGCTGCCAAAGGAGGCGATAGAAATGACTGTATTCACCTAAGTAAAGCGGATGGAATCCGCACTACTCTAGATTAGCTACACTGTGGTATAAATGAATGTAAGTGAAGACATACCTCAGCCGCTGCCAAAGGAGGTGATAGAAACGACTGAGGGAAAGTATGTACCAAAGCACCTCTAATATATGGGCAAAAACCCGCTTGCTAACCGACCATGCGTATCGCCTATGAGTCCATGACTTGTATCAAACGCACTCACTATTACATGTACACCTGAAACATTCTGAAACAATCTGATGCACCTTATTACGTATCTGAGCGCATGCACTTGCATCCGACCACGCATGCAAGTGATGGATTGCCCATGTGTGCATGGGCAAGCATCGGATGGGAGACGGATACCCACAGATGGGTCTAGGATGGGTCGGATGGATGTGGAATATCATCTGGTTTTGTCACCCACTGTATGAGTGCATACACCTATCATCGACCACCGAAATGAGAAACACGAAAGCCTGAATACAACATTTCGTAAATTAGACAAATCATCAAGTACCTAATACCGAGTACCAAGTTCCGGGTAACTAATCCTGATGTCTGGGTAACTGACACCGATGTCCGGGTAACATCCATCGACGTCCGGGTAACTGATATTGACATCCGGGTAACTGATATTGACATCCGGGTAACTGATATTGAGTTCCAGGGATGTCTTAAATTGGACAAATGACCGAGTACCGAGTTCCAGGCATCGATTACCGAGTTCCAGGCATCGAGTTCCGAGTTCCAGGCACCGAGTTCCAGGCATCGAGTTCCAAGTTCCGGGCACTGAGTTCCGGGCATCGAGCACTGAAACACAAAACTAAAATCCAACATTGTGTGAAGTACTGAGTTCCAAGTTCCGGGCATCGAGTGCCAAGTACCGAGTTCCGAGGTCTGGGCATCGAGCTCCGAGTTCTGGGCACCGAGTTCCAGGCATCGAGTTCCGAGTTCCAGGCACCGAGTTCCGGGCATTGAGCACTGAAACACAAAACTAAAATCCAACATTGTGTGAAGTACTGAGTTCTGAGTTCCAGGCATCGAGTGCCAAGTACTGAGTTCCGAGGTCTGGGCATCGAGCTCCGAGTTCTGGGCACCAAGTTGTATTTCGGTGCTCGATGCCCAGAACTCGGAACTTGATGCCTGGAACTCGGTGCCCAGAACTCGGAGCTCGATGCCCAGACCTCGGAACTCAGTACTTGGCACTCAATGCCCGGAACTCGGAACTCAGTACTTCACACAATGTTGGATTTTAGTTTCGTGTTTCAGTGCTCGATGCCCGGAACTCAGTGCCCGGAACTCGGAACTCGATGCCTGGAACTCGGTAATCGATGCCTGGAACTCAGTACTCGGTCATTTGTCCAATTTAAGACATCCCCGGAACTTGATATCAGTTACCCAGATGTCGGTATTAGCTACCCGGAACTTGGTGCTCGATGCCCGGAACTTGATACCAGTTGCCCGGACGTTGATGGATGTTACCCGGATGTCGATATCAGTTACCCAGACGTCGGCATGAGTTACCCAGATGTCAGTATTAGTTACCCGGACGTCAGTATTAGTTACCCGGAACTCGATTTCATTCTTTGGGTATAGCAGAGGTACAATGCATTTCAAGAACATTTACAGAAATCTAACTACCAAATTATGTAGACATTTCAACCTCGCCCAGATGACCCTCATCATCATCTTCACCTTCAACCTTGACCAGATGACCCTCATCACCACCTTCAACTTCAACCTTCACCTCAACATCCATCTCATCACCAGAATCGTATTCCGGGACAAGGTTGCGTGGATCATCCGGCACCAAAATTGCTCCGGCAGTTGAGGGAGTAGGTGATGGGTCCGGGGCTGGTTGAACTTGGCTCGGCTCAAATGAAAGACCCTCGATAGCAGAGGGATCCTCAATTTTCGAGGGTGTGGGCTCCACTGCAATTGAAATATCGATGAGAGGAGGGAGTGCGGATTGGGAGGGTGACATTGTTCCAGCGACAGATTGATCAAGCAACAAAGACGTTGCAATTGCTGGAGTGGTGGGAAGGGGAAATGAGGGATGGGGTTCCATGGTTTGGTGTCGAAGGCTCTCATGGAGCCTGCTGAGGGTATCAATATGGCTGCCCTGCTCGGCAACAAGATCCTCGAGAGCCTTGATGCATTCGGCACTATCGCGAATACTTCTTGCCATGGAATGGAGGTCCGGCATAGGGACGTCGAGAGCCGCACAAGGCACATGGGCACTCGAAGATGCAATTGCTACAAAGGAATAAGATAAGATGATGATGAGAAATTCAAAAGACTTACGAGCTGGTGCAGGTGAGGGTGTAGGTGGTGGGGCGGGTGCCTTGACAGCAGTTATTGTCTTGCTGCGACTGCGCGTCTTAGGCACGGTCACAGCAGACCCACTGGCAGTTCTGGCAGCACTGGCGCCAGTAGCTCCAGCTACACCATGAGATTGGCTGCGGGTCCAGGCCTTTGGTTGGGAGGTGGACAGAGCTTTGGAAGGTGTCCAGGACCTGGCCTTCCGGGTGGTCGACTTACCCTGCGACCGTTTTGGTGGACTTCCGAGGGTGACGGAAAAACACTTTACCTTCTTTGTGTTGCAGAAAACACAGGAGAGAAGGCCTTTCCCAGTCCTCTTGTTGAACCGGGTCGTGCAGGGCAACTCCACATTGTTGCAAGCCCAGCATGGGTTGTTCTGTTTGTTCAGTTAGTTGAAGGATGCCCAATGAATTTTCAAAGTACTCACCGGTCCGGGAATGAGAATGTCATCTGGATCGATGACAGTTGGTGCCACGTCCGGGGTGACCACAGGGGTATTGGACGCCGAGTCCGAGTGCTCGACGACCTCCAGAGGGCTTCCAGCAGGGCCATTGATGACAGTTGGTGCCACCACCGGGGTGACCACGGGGGTGTTGGACGTCGAGTCGGTCTGCCCGGCGACGTCCGCACACCTTCTGGCAATTACCTGACAACGTTACAGATGACCAGGAGTGATGCGGGCATAAATTAGACATACCTTCGCAGGGCTGAAAGGTCTCTTCTTGGGGATCCGGGGCGAGACTGAGGTGAGACGATGAACTAAGACGACCGGCCCTTCTTGGGCAGCCGGCTGCAAAATAATGAGTGACAACAAAAACAACAAACGGAATGACATACCTTGTCCACAGGTTCGTCCTTGGACTCCACAAACTCGGCTGACTTCACAACCCGAGCTGACTTTGCCCTCTTGCGACTCTTCATCGCAGATTTCGGCGGTTGGGAGGAGGGTCCCGAAATCAGGGGCGATTTCCTCTTCCTACTCCTGTCCGCCTCAGGCTCCGTGTCAGCATCTAACACCTTACCCTTACCCTTATCCTTATGCTTCTCCCGGGACTCATTGATAGTGCCAGACGATGGGCCAGCAATGCTGCCAGCAACGGCAGGTGGGGAGGGAAGGTCGACCGTGACAGTGTCAGGGGATTTGGGGGCATCGACCGGAAGATCGAATGTCCGGTCGCCTAAAGCCTCCCATGCGGAGACCTTGTGGCGCCAGCTGTGCCTCTGGAGGCGAAGATCATTATGGCCGATGCTGTGCCAGTTGGGCAAATCCTGGGGGGACAACTGCCAAACGCGAAGTAACTCCTTGGAGCAGGACAAGACTATGCCCGGAATGCAAGGTGAAGCCTCATGGTCCCAGACGGCCTTAGCCTGCCCGGTCATTAGAGAAAACGAAAAGAAAAAAAGGAAAAACAACATACCACCAGTTCAGTGACTTGTGCTTTCAGAGCCAAGTGGCTGTTGCCAGGTGGGAGGAGCCGAGCCGCGTGGACAATGTCAACAATCTGCCTAGTGATTGCCTTAAGTTCGGCAAAAGAGGTTTCAGCTGCAGTGGACATGTTGAATGATGAGAAAGATGTGTAAATCTTTGAATCAGATGTGAAATTGATGAAGTTTCAGAGGGAAAACAGGCAGTTGAATGGCCATGTAAAACTTTGTTGATTTGTTTGGCTTTGTTTGGCAATGGTTCAACTTTTGGAAATTGCCGGACTTCAGTTGAACTTCAAGTATACAATCAATTATCGGTACTTCCGTCCCTCACAAGATGAATTCACATCCAACAGTCAGATTTAATGATCCTCCAGCGACCGAGTATTATTCAATGGACGTAGATGATTCAACACAGTCCAGGACATCAACAGGTAAGATCTATTTGTACTATGCCTTATCTATGTTTTTATCTTACATGCCATAGATGATTTATACCTTGGGCCAGATGATGACATAGAAGATGATTCCATGTCGTCCAGTGGTCTGGGCGTGTTGGCTGCAATCCCCAGTACATTTATCACTTGGATATTACCAGGCATGCTCACTAAACTCGTACAGATCAATTACCTCCGGCTCAATACGATCAACCGGTTCAGTACATCGACCCAGACTTGTACCTTGGGCCTGATGAGGATCTGATTGATTGTGATGATGAGCCGGGCTCTGTCTATGCATGGTGTGAGTCTCTGGTCGCATCTGAAGTTTCAATGTCATGTAAGTAAATTCTACACATTTTTCAATTGAAACTTAATTTATCTCGCAAGCGAATGAGAGACCAGCCGAATGCGATCCAGCACATCCAGAGGTCACAAATGAAGATTTGCGTGTGATGGTTCGTGAGTTCTGGCCAATAGGGTCATTTGAACACTCCGGATGTGAGTATCTGGTATACTACTATATCTATCATTTTTCTTATTTTCATTTCAGTGCAATCCCTTCAAGATAGACTCAGCAGCTACAAACAAGTTAATGGAGGTCTTCCGGCCCCTTCCATACCACTACTCATTGAGGCCGAGTGACCATTTTGAATCGCTTGGGCGGATACATCTGACAAGCTCCGGAGGGCTGATGCTGAGCTACAGAGGCTGAGAAGAGCTGAACAGGCAAGCATCGAAATGCTTAAGGTGGTAGATTCCATGATTTGTCAGTGTGAAGAATGAAACCAAAACTAAACTTCTGAATTTTCGATACCATCACATGTAAAGTACCAACTCAGTAAAATACCGAATCTTCGATAACATAGTCACATCACATGTAAATTACTGGAACACAGAGGTATTACATTACTGCCATGTAGAATAAGTAATCTATCAAGAGTTCCGGGTATCAATTTCCAGGCATAGAGTACCCAACACCAAATATCGCGTTCTGGGTATTGAGGTCCGGGCATCGAGTGCTGAGTTCCAAGTTCCAAGTTCCGGGTAACAAATACTGAGTTCCCTGAATCAAGTACCTGCCCGGACCTCAATGCCTGAACCTCAGTAATTGATACACGGAACTTGGTATTTGGACCTGGAACTCAGTATTCTCTGCCCGGATCAAGAGTTCCAGGTATCAAGTTCCAGGCATAGAGTACCCAACACCAAATATCGCATTCTGGGTATTGAGGTCCAGGAATTGAGGTCCAGGCATCGAGTGCCGAGTTCTGAGTTCCGAGTTCTGGGTAACAAATACCGAGTTCCCTGAATCAAGTACCTGCCTGGACCTCAATGCCTGGACCTCGGTAATCGATACCCGGAACTCGGTATTTGGACCCGGAACTCGGTATTCTTTGCCCGGAACTTGGTACATGGTCATTTGTTCAAATTACTCGGTGAACCACAGAATCTTTGACCACATTAACATCACATGTAAATTGAATACCGATTGAATAACATTGATAGTGACATATGAGACAATGGTACATGTACATTACTTTTTGCCCCTTGCTCTAGTAACTCTGTCAGATGGTTGTTGCACTGACTTACTCTGAGTTGTTCTCGCCAGTGCCTCAATCGCATCTTTCTTCCCCTGGAAGCTCTTCAGGGCTGGCAGTGGAACTTCATGTTCAACATCGCCAGGGCCCTCAGCCTCACTCTCGGATTCGGTTGATGAATCCCGAGGTCTCTGGATCATCACCCTCTTACGCTTCAGACGAGGAGGTGATTTCTCAGATACAACGGAATCTACCATGTCGCCTTCTTTGTTCCTCCATGCCTTGAACAGGAACGTCGGACCTTCACCCGTTTTCTGACGAGCATACCAGAAATTGAGCAAGGCGGTGGTATCCCAATTTTGCAACTTGGAAGGCTCCTTCAAGTTTACATCCTCCGGAAGATATTGTCTGGCCACAAAGTCATCCTGACTTTGTATGATGGCACTCCACGGCACAACGGCCTTGTCAATCCCAGAACAGATCCCTGTACCCTACATTAAAGAGATTCTCTTAGGAAGTTACAAAGCCAGACTCACTATAGTGCTTTGTAAGAAAAGCCCTCACTATGGCCTTCTTCTCCTCCAGTTTTGTTTCCGTGATGTCCGGAAGCAATGGCATCCCATCCCCATCCAATTCCAGATTGAACACCGGTTTCTTCATTATTTTTCATCCTCCCTTCACCTGTCGCCCTCCATCCCGTGCCTCGCCACCTATGATCCCGATGATCAATGAAATCATTCTCGTCTCCACAGCGGGAACACTCACCGAACTGTTCCTGCGCGTACTCCTGCCAAACTGGCTCTATGTCCTCCCAGTCCTTAGTCTTCATGAAGCTGTCCCCATCCCCTAATGCCTCATTGTCATCGTGCCTATGTGAAATAAGTTGAGACCAAATATCTGCGATGACAGATAAAATTCACTGACATCCCGAACAGCACCTCTCCGTGTTCATTCTTCCAAGCCGACAACACAAACACTCTCATCCTGCATTGTCTCCACATCTCGTTCATAAAGTGCTCCATATATACAGGTCCCTTCTTACGGGCGACTTGCGCCTGTGTCTCAGGAGGAGGAAAGTTGTTGGACCATTCTTTGGCGGTTTCTTTTGCCTTCTCCAACTCATCCTTGGACAAATCAGCCATGACCTTCTTCACCACAGCTTGATAATGCTTGAACATGTCTTGACCTTCTGGCTTTGCCCCGAACTTGACCTTGATCCTCTTTAGCACTTCCTCTCTGTTCTGCTGATAGATCACCTGCCTAGGCATCCATTTCCTCCCATACTTAATCATGTCCTTCCTTTCCTTCTTTTTCTTGTTGTTGAACAACCAAGTTTTATACATCTAAGAGGCAGAGGAAGAATCAGACATGAAAAATCGAGTTTTTCAACACAACAAGGATGTATCACCTGCTTCCTCTTTTTCCATTGTCCTTGGTCGACCTTAGGAGTGTTACGCCAAAGTATAACACAGGCAAACAATAATCAATAAGACCAAAGGTCTGTCGATACGTTCAAGACAACAGTCTTAAGAATGTCCAAAGTCAAGTCAAAGCTAAGTACCGAAGAAGTAACTTAGAATCAAGTCAGATGTTTCAGAGGAAAACCAGTGTATGTTAAGCTGAAGAATCAGCGTCACCTAGCCAGGGTTTATATAGTACAGAGGGTACAGGGTGTGATGTAATAATAGGTATGTATCAGTAAGCACATGCGTAAGCAATGAGGTGTCTGAGTAATACCGAACTAAATATAGCATGATAAGAGACATGCTAAGAAGGCATGGATCAAGGGAAAAAGAAGCAAGATAAGCACAGCCATAACATCACCCCCTTCTTACGTGGAAAGTCCCAGACTTTCACTCAAGACCATGACGCTGCTCATCTTCGGTTCCTCCAAGCCCGTCAAGGGCCTCAAAGAAACCTCTTTCCTCCATAAGGATCAACGTCAATTGTTGAAGCCTCTCCTTGATGTCTTGAATGCTATAGTCGAGGGAGAAGAGTTCTTCTTCTCTGTACTCGGCATTGTGCCTTTCCAAGGTGTTTTTGAGACGATCTCCAAGGCAATAGAGGTCATAGAGGGCATTGAGCGCAGGCTCAGTGTCAATGGTGTCTTTAATGGGGTTCTTGAAAAGTTTGGATGACAGCATAATCCTATGACGAAGTCTACGATCTTCGAGATCGGACAAGTAGGGGTCAGTCGCTACTTTCCAAGGAGCTGCTCGTCGACGAGCTGCAACACACTCACAGGTTCTGATCATAGTGGGGCTGGCGGGAGTGTCGATAAAAGTAGGGATAACGGGTTCGTTAAATATTTGGTATGGGGACGACACTCTAGAGTCTGGCATAGGAGACGTCGGACGTGGGGGTTCTGGGGAATTTCTTTGACTAATAGTCATATAGTGAGGACGTGGGGAGAAGACAGGGAATCTGAGATTTGGGATAGGAACGTTCAGGGCGCTGTTGTGCGTGATAACGAGGTTTATATCCTCGTTGTTGGAGGAGATGTAGTTACGTCCACCGGTAGAGGGCATGGTCTGAATGGTTTAGTGATGATGGTTTGAGTTGAGAGAGGAATGAGTCGATGTGCCTGCTTATATCTGTTCAAGATTTCAGCGGAGTTGGCTAAATCAGACTCCGACAACCATTCATTATCGGCCGATGGGTAACCTTTCCATTTGACAAGGAAGCGTCGTCGTGAGAGAGTTCCTTTATGTCCAAGGATAGCTTCTACCTCGTGTTCTTCTTCTCCGTCAATTAGGTCAGGAGGTGGTGACGGGAAATTAGGACCGTGTTCTTCATTTTCGCGATAAGGGGTTAGAAGTGCTGCGTGGAATACCAGGTGGACACGCCATTGGCTTGGAAGTTTTAGGCGGTATGTGACTGGTCCGAGGACTTCTGAGATAGTGAAGGGTCCTTCTCTCTTGGGTGCTAATTTCCTATTGGGGTAATTGAGATGAAGGTTCTTTGCTTCTAGCCAAACCTTGTCGCCTTTCTTAAAGGGTGTGAACGATCGAGTGATTCTTTGCCTCATGGTTTGTCTAGCGAGTTCATGTGAAGATAGAGCTTCTTCTCGAGCCTTCTGGAGTTCTGATATTCTTGCTTCGATGGCTGGGAGATCCGATTTCTCAGTAGCCAATGGTAACGCTTGAGGGTGGTATCCCATCATGAGATAGAAGGGAGAAGTGTTTCGTGCGGAGTGATGTCAGGAATTGTGTACAAATTCTGCCATGGGAAGTTTTTCTGACCACGAGGTTTGGTTGTTTGCACAGAAGATGCGAAGATATACTTCTAGTTCTTGATTTACTCGTTCTGTTTCTCCATCAGTTTGAGGATGGAAAGCGGTGGAGAGCGCGATTTTGTATCTGAGAAGTCTTCCTAATTCTTGTGCGAACTTGGCTGCGAATTGAGGTCCTCTGTCAGAGATGATCTTGTCATAAAGTCCAAAGCATGTATAGACGCGATTGAAGAATACATCGGCGACTCCTTCTGCATCGATCGTCTTGTTGCAAGGTGTGAGCACCACCCCCTTCGTAAGCCCATGGTCTACCATGACCATGATAGAGTCAAAGCCATTAGATGGAGGAAGGTCAACGATGAGGTCGACCGAGCACTGAGCAAAGGGGCGGGAAGAAGTGGGGGCAGGAATAGGACAAAGTGGTGGTGCTGTCGGGTGGGTATTGACCTTATTCTGCTGGCAAACAGCACATCCTTCGACGTACTTGCGAACGAAAGTGGGAAGACCAGGCCACCAATAGTCACAAGAGAGGATTTCTTGGGTTTTAAAACGACCAGGGTGGCCAGCAGTGGGGGAGTCGTGATGCAAGGAAATGAGTTCCTTTCGTAGCGGACCAGGAGGAACGTAATTGCGACCTTTGAAAGTGAGAATAGCATCAGAGAAGGTCCAATCAGAAAGTGTGGTTTTTATAGGGAGGGGCAGGGTGGGATTCGAAAGGGCGTTGATAGTTTGCTGAACTACAGGGTCAATCGAAGACGAAATGCGGAGTTTTTCATGCATAGTGCTATCAATGAGGTTGATGAATAGTCCATCCGGTAGGACAGTGACATCAGAATTGTCTTTAGCATCAGCGGGAATGTGATCAGGTCTGCGGGAGAGGGAATCAGGAACGGAAAGGTCTTTGCCTGGTACATGTTGAAGTTGGAGATCGAATCGGGAAAGGAATAGGAGCCAACGAGCTTGTCAATGATTAAGTTGTTGGGCTTGGCGGAAGTAGGTTAAGTTCTTATGGTCGGTCATAACAAGAACTGGGAATGGGGAACCTTCAAGGTAATGACGCCAAGCCTCCAAGGCTCGTATGATGGCTAACAGTTCTCGATCAAAGATCTGGTAGTTCTGTTCTGCAGGGGAAAAGGTTTGTGAGAGGTAAGAACAAGGGTGCCAGTCACCATTGGAGTCCTTTTGAAGGAGTACTCCGCCTGTGGCATAGAGAGATGTGTCTACTGCAATAGTGAACGGGGTATCTTTATCAGGGATGGAAAGTACAGGGGCGGAGAGGAATCGGTTCTTCAGGTCAGTGAATGCTTTATCGCAAGCCAGTGACCAATCAAAGATGGAGTCTTTCTTTGTAAGGTCAATAAGTGGTCGAGCGATGGTTGAATAATCGGCAATGAAACGACGGTAGAAGTTGGTGAATCCCAGGAATGATCGAACATGTTTGACAGTCGTTGGTTGTTCCCATTTGACTACTCCGTCGAGTTTGACTTTATCCATGCAAATCTGTCCAGGACGGATGAGGAGACCAAGGTATTCAACTTCAGTGGTGTCAAAGACACATTTTTCAGGTTTAAGGGATAGCTGATGATCGCGAAGTCGTTGCAATACTCGCATTGTTCACTGATGGTGGGATTCAAGGTCTTTGGAGAAGATTAAGATATTGTCCATATAAATGACCATCCAACCTTTGTCTATCATATCAGAGAAGATGTCGTTCATCATTGCTTGAAACGTTGCAGGAGCATTGCATAGACCGAAGAACATGACCGTAGGTTCGAAGAGTCCTCTTGACGTTTTGAATGCGGCTTTCTATCTATCTGGACCGTGAATTCTGATGTTGTTGTATCCTGCGCGAACGTCCATTTTTGTGAAGATTGTCGCGCCTTTCAGTTTGTCGATGAGGTCGGGAATGCAGGGAAGAGGATAGGCATCTTTTACGGTCGCATTGTTAAGTCTTCGATAGTCTTGACATGGTCGAAGGGATCCATCTTTCTTTCCTACAAAGAAGAAAGGAGATGCTTGAGGAGACTGCGACGGTACAATGGTTCCTTTCGCCAGATGTTCGTCTATGAATTCATTCATCGCTTTTTCTTCCGGTGCGGATAGGGGATAGATTTTGCAAGAGCGTGGTTCGAAATCAGTTTTTAGTTTTATTTTATGGTCAAAGGGTCGAGACGGTGGCAATGTATCCATGGCTGCTTTGTCAAAGATGTCCTTGTACATATGGAATACTTCAGGTACAAGTTCTTCAAATGTCTTCGGCTTTTCCTTAGTGTATGCTTCTTATGCTAATTGTTAAGTGACATTGGCAGCCTTTCGTACTGGGAGAGGGGAGAACATGAATCGAGCGGAGTTGGGGACTTTAGAAATTCTGTTTGTTCGGGATACGAAAGAGAAGGTAGTGGGAATGTGTTCTTGGGTGAGTGGTGAGTCAAAGTTGATTTTCTCGTATACTCCCACGAATTCTTCTCCTTTGACGTAAGCGATAAGAACTTTGTCGTCTTGTAGTTCTTCTATTATTTCTTTTTCGTCTTCTTCTTCTTCTTCTGGTAGAAGTTCCGGTTGTTCCTCGGAAATTCCTTCCGAGGATGTGTATGCTTCTTCATCTTCTATTTCTTCTATTCTTGGTTGCATAGAAGCATGTTTGGTTCTATCGGAGATGAGGGTTTGGATCATAACTGGGTCTTCTTCTAGCGAGATTTCGCTTTTAGCCCAATCAATAGTTGGATTTTTGTTCTTGAGCCAAGGAAGTCCGAGGATGATATCTTCGCCTCCAAGAGAGGTGATAAGGAAGGTGGCGAACATAGTTCGGCCTCCTGCTGAGAAGAAAAGATTGCAGGCTTTGTTAATGGTTCCTGCTTTATTCTTCGTTCCATCCACGTTCCGGACTTCGATTTGTGAAGAGAGATTGTGAGTTGAGAAATTGTTCTTTCGTACGTATTTCCAGTCAATGAATGTTCCGGCAGCGCCCGAATCGATTAGGGCAGCAGCCTTGGCGGTTTTATTGGACTTGCAGGATTCGATCGAAATAGGAATGTGCATGGAATTCGAATTGCCTACAGAAGATACAATGAGTCCGATAGATGTACTAGGGGTTTCCGACGCCGGTCCAGTCTCCCCATTTAGAAATCCTTCTTAGAAGAAGAAGGTACTTTCGACACCTTCCAGGCTTTCCAAGCGAGGAATTCTTGATACTCTGCGTCTTGATCGTCTTGTTTGATCTTAGTCTCACGGACTGGTCATCCGGCCGGCTTTTGCCAACCGGGAGCGGAGTCTCTATGGTTGGGGCAATCCTTCATAAGCCCTTTCTTTCCACACTTGAAGCAGAGTCCCGATTTGCGATGTCTGTCTTGTTCAGACCGAGAAAGTCGAGTGTTGCGAACTGGAGTCGCTTCTTCTTCGTCAATATCGACCTTGTCTATGTCCATTGCATATGGGTCATTCTTCTTTGAGAAGCCCCCTCCGGAGTTTATTAAGAGTCTCCTGGATTCGTATTCCCTTGCTGCTTCGACCCACTCTTTGATATCCGCAGGCATTTTCTCTCTAGTGAGGATTGCTTCTTGGACTTCTTTCTTGAGTCCTTGTCTGAAACACGTTGTTTTGACATCTGCGTCTATGCATTGGGCTTCTGCCGAGATTCGTTTGAAATAGGCAATGTATGCCGAGATGGTGGAAGTCTGTTTCGCTCTCATCAACATGTTGACGGCAGTAAGTGTGTCGTTCTTAGGGTAAAACACCGCTTAGAATTCTTTGATGAATTCGTCCCATTTCCCCATAGGGGTAGCGGTATCGTGTTTCCTATTGATCCATCCTGTGGCCCATTGTTGAGCGTGTCCTTTAGTCATGAATGACGTTGCGAATGCAATGCATTTTTCGTGGTTGTCGTAGACGTCTTTGTTCACGGTAATATATGTGGAGACAGTTGTCCACCAGGCTTTGGCCTGTTTCTGCGACCCATCAAAGTTGGGTGGTCTATTCAAGTTGAGTTCACCCATTTTCTTAGGTGGTGGTCTAGGTGCAGATGGTGGAGGTGGAGTCGGGGATCTAGGTGGTGGTGGTGGTGGGTTCGATGGTCCTGGTTGATCTGGTCCGTATCCTGCTATGTATTCGTTGTCCTGTTGGATAGGAGAACCTGGTTCAGAGAAATGTTCGTCTTCGTGTTCAGACTCCGAGGAGTATTGTCGTTGTTCCCTATAAGCCACGATATATCGTGACGACTACTAGGGTAGCGTCGTCTTGTGATAGAGCTTAACCTTTTGTTATGCCGAAGTATAACACAGGCAAACAATAATCAATAAGACCAAAGGTCTGTCGATACATTCAAGACAACAGTCTTAAGAACATCCAAAGTCAAGTCAAAGCTAAGTACCGAAGAGGTAACTTAGAATCAAGTCAGATGTTTCAGAGGAAAACCAGCGTAGGTTAAGCTGAAGAATCAGCGTCACCTAGCCAGGGTTTATATAGTACAGAGGGTACAGGGTGTGATGTAATAATAGGTATGTATCAGTAAGCACATGCGTAAGCAATGAGGTGTCTGAGTAATACCGAACTAAATATAGCATGATAAGAGACATGCTAAGAAGGCGTGGATCAAGGGAAAAAGAAGCAAGATAAGCACAGCCATAACAAGGAGCAAATAACCTGGCTGCTCGAGCTATGGCATTGAAAACTCCCCGTTTCTCGCTCCTTTTTGCAGAAGTCCACTCAGGAAGGTAGTTCTTCAGCTCTGAAATTTCATTTTCCGTGAGCTTCTGTGACTGTGGTTGATGTGTTCTGTGTCTTCTAGAAGTCAACTGAGTGGAATGACCTGATCTTGCCATGGTGAATAAGATTGCAGAATGGGCTGAGGATAAGCAAAGTGGAAGGAATAATGGTCGCAAGTTCAACTTTGATCAAAGCCTAACAGTTGGTTAATCTACCTATAACAGATGCAACACCATTCATGGAAATGAATTGGTAATGAGCCAACCAAACTGCATAATACAATGATGGAATAACAATTCGTTTGACCTTCCTGAGCTAATGCTTTCCTTGCAACATTAAAAAATAAAATGAAGATAGGTCGTTGCACCCTATTGCAGAAATCCCACAGGGTAGAAGCAAGGGGCAGCAAAGGTAGGAAGACATGGGTCAAGGTCCCACTTGCCAGCACGAGTCGACATGCCTACAGGTCCATGCCTAACTCTCCCCTGGAATCACCGACACTTGAACCTGTTCAGGCCCCACCTCCTTGGGAAGACTTTCCTGAAGATACTTACGAGCAAGACCAAGGGTCATTTGAGCCCTTGCAACTCCCAAAAACAATGGCAAGTTCATGTAAAATGTTGGAATGTCTTTCGAACAAAAGCTAAGTATTAAAAAATGCAGAGTCAGAATGACTACCTCAGGTAATGGTTGCCAAGGCAGGAATCATATTTCCATCACCTCCTGGATTGAGAAGCTCCACCAGAAGATAGGAGATGCGTCATCTGCGATCAGGATGGGGTCTTCAAATGTCAAGATTCTCTTGGGGAGCCTCTCTATTGCACAGGCGGTTGCCGGAGTCAACATCGTTGCAATCCTTTCCACTGGATCAGTCAATGGAATGGTCAATTCTTTGAGCAAAGTTGTCTGGCTCATGTTGGACTCGTCATATACCTCGGTCATGATGGCAAGCCATGTCCGGTAGTCACAGATAGGTGGGATTTGTTTGACGAAGATGAACAAGAAGACCACTTTGAACCTGAAGATCTACCATCTGTGTCAGGACCCGAGTTCCAGCCCAAGGAAAATACAATGGTCATCATTGACAAGTCAGGAGTCCATCGCCTTGAGGTTCGATGCTGTGATTGTCCTGATGCCATGAGTCCAGACATTCAAATGTTTCGACATGGCTTTTACCCTGCATCATTTAACAAGCCAAAGACCGTGTTCACCTTCAGAGTGCTAGATGATTTTCTGTTGGACAACCTCGAATGTGGCACCTCAGCGATGAACTATTACAGCAAGCTTCGGCGAATGACCTCGAGCATGTTTCCCCACCTCGTTCCGGTAATACCATATCTACATCATCTGAAGCACATTATATTGACAAAGCACATTGCAAGGACCAATACAGAGAGCTTATGAGAGTCGCTCGACAGTGGAGGCAGTTAAAGTCTATGAAATGGCATGGCTTCAGGCATAGTTCCGACAACCCGAATGCCAGAGATCTCGCATTATTCTGCCCGGCATGTCCTCAGCCCGGGATTAACATATCCTTGTCAGGGGATGAATCACTTGATGTGTGAGTCTCTTTTGTTACCGAATCTACGTTGGTGATATTAAAAACTCCAAGCTGGAAATACACCCGGTCATTTGTGATGGACGGAAATTTCAAAGCCGAACACCTGCATCCCATCAAGCCATATGATGAAGTATGGCTCTCCGATGGGTTGGGGTTTATGGTGGGAAAGGAAAGGTATCAAAAGCATCTTGAAGAGGCTGCTGACACTGTGGAAAAATCGAGCTGCAACAATCATTGGGCTGTCAATCAAGCAAATGCAGCTCGGCACAAGCTGGAGTCCACCGGCATCGGGAGAGTAGCCTGTGGCCGACACGGTTGCTTTGTCCCTCACTCGATGGTAGATTTCCAGAAAGGCGAAAGGCAAGCCAGACACGCCGTTCAACATTCCTGAGTTGACCATGCATCGTTTGCAGACAAATGAACATGGACTACGCACTTTGTGAGGCTGCCCAGCACAACATGGATGGGATTACAAGGGCTGTCACCTTCTATGACATCAACTGTCAATACAACAAGCACTTGCATGTTCGGGTGGATCGAGGCCGATTTCTGACAATGGTTCCGGAATTGACTGTCATTCCTGGAATCAGGCTGTGGCACATCCACAGACATCAGGATAGCTGCTATGTCAGATATGCGTTGAATTTCATTGAAGGCATTGGTCACATTAATGGAGAGATCATGGAGACCCTATGGGCATGTCTCAACCTGATTTCTCCTGCTGCTTGGGGAATGTCTTCCCTGCATCGGAAGGAATGTCTTGATTTCCAGATGAACGATTCCAACTTTTGCAAGATGATCCGCATGAAGAGGACCCTTTGCCGGAAATACAAGCAGGCGAAGACTGGCATTGCCGAAAGTGGAAAGGCTTTCGACAGACTTGATGAAGCCACACCAGCCAACTTAAAGACAGACTGGTTAGCAAGTGAGAGGATCGCTCAGTCCAACAGAATACAAGATCCAGCTGCAATGGATATATATGAGATTAATATCAAGAAGGGTGAGATCACTCTGTCTCGATCGAAGTCTGAATTCATTTTGAACCCAGCACCGAGCAAAAAGGAGATAGAGCTTAGACTGCTGCAGGAGGGTAATGCCCATCATGCAGCACCCTCTCGCAGATCTGTGGCAACATGGATATCAATGGGCCTGGCAATTGAAGAGGCTCAAATTGCATTGCACATCGAGGTCCGAAGAATAGGAAAAAGAACTACCGAGACTCAGAGATTAGACATCGCCCAGCAACGCGATCATCTACAAGGCCAGATAGATGCATTCACTCAGACTGCTCTGACGCATCTGGGAGAGGGATTTGATGCAGATGACGACCCTGACGATTTGAATATAGACATTCTCAATGATCTCGATGATGACCCAGAGGATTTCATCAGGAAGTCCGATACATGGACAAACTCCCCTGAGCTCACTGTCATCCCATTGCCATCAAACCTCGGGGTAGATCGATCCAAACGTTGTATGGCAGAGGATCTGATTCCGCTGGAGTTGTCGCTTCGTGAAGGACAGGCCAATGATGCCCTTCACAACCTCTGAATTCACTTGTGCAACAAGGCAATACTCTTCCGAACAACAGTCAGGCAAGCCAAATCTCGAGCATGGAAAACCCAAGCTTGGTCCCAGGTGACATCAGTGCAGCAGGCGATGTCCCTCCATGCCAGCATATATACCAAGACAAGGAAGCAAATGATGAAACTTGAGCCGGGCCAAGACCAGCTGGAAAAATATAAACCCCTGCTTCAGGAGCAGCTCAAAATCAGCACGGCCGTCGGCGATCCTAATGCCTGAGGTCAGCGAAATGAGTCTCTCGCTTGGTTCTGGTCTATCGAAGTAGATTTGGGGGGTCCAGATCACTCGTGGAATGAGGAATGTGAGTTCCAGCTTGCTTGACAAATGCCTGCGATCTGACCAGACCCGCATGAAGTTTACCGAGTTCATTGGCTTCGGGCAAAGGCACTATGGGATTGATGGAAGGAAGAACTGATATTGGTGGAATTGGAGATGGATTGGACGTGTAATTTCTTCTTGTGGAAATCAACGCAATGGGGCGACTGGATGAGGGAATCATTGGTGAAATGCCTTCCGGGTCATGCTTGCTACTCCGGAAGGCAATCCCAAATGTATTCATTACTGGTGCAGGATGCTCAGGCAGCGTTTCAAGACCTGCAGAGCATGTTAATAGATGCCTGAGATGAATGAATTATGAATATGTTCTGCTGATATATGATTCAATCCCAACAATTGAGTCTCAGCAAGGGGCCAGGTCAGCCCATGTCGGAGTTTGAATTATTTTATCAATCCATCAGTGGATCCCATCTGAAAAAACCATCATTATCATTGCTAGTGTCCTACTCCTGCATTGCCCATGTCTGATTTAAATTCACCTCCCGAATCCACTTTTGCACCTCCTGCATCCACTTTTGCACCTCCTGCATCTACTTCTGCCACTGAGGATTCCAGCAATGAATATAAACCCCCCACAATGAGTCTTGCAGATATTGCAGTTACATTGGCAATGGCTGCATCGCGCGTTCAAGCCTGTATCAGTCAATATCAGACAGTGTTACAGGGACGTTACGTAAACCCCTTGGACTAGCTTATTCTCTTTTGCCTATCCTTTCATTTCCATTATCCGTCGCTAAAGCGACTTCTATCTTACCGTTCACTTGGCTTATCCATATTGGCTGATCATTCTCGCACCACTTATCTGGTTTATCCGTTATCTCTGATTCGTACCCTATGCCCTTACCGCATTGTCGGTACTACCCTTGACCCTTACCGTTCAACCAGTATCTTCTGCTTTTCGTATATAAAGGACTCCGTATGCTGTAGTAGTCCTTAACTTGAATCTACTCAGTATCACGCTCCAAGCCTCAGGACAGAGGGATAGCACGAAAGCTAGATAATAAGCCTCATCGCTTTTATCACATTTACACTATCTTCTACTAGACTTCCGTCTAGTAGCCTTACCTTGAAACTCGACGCAACACTAGATCGGTACTCCTTGCGGGTATCTAGTGTGGAACCAACTGAGTTCGTAACAGACAGAGGCTGCTGAGAACAATGTTCCTTTGGCTCGGATAATGTACTTTAAAGCCAGAATCCAATGGGAGATCACTGTAAGCCATCAGACAGATGACTGTGGTGGGGAATATGCTGAGATTGCTAACAGACTTTTGTGACACCAATTCTGCAGTACTCAGCTGCAAGGAACATAATTTCGGTTATGCCACCCCCGATCGCTCATATTCTTCACTTGTTTCCTCAGCTCACATGGAACGCAGTTCCAGACCACATCTTTTCATCCCACTTATCTGAGTTTCGTCTGGTCCGGGATCACGGAGAACCCTCCTGGATTGTATCCTCCTATGATACTCCATGGTGGATGGGGGACACTACAATCCCTAACCAACCATGGCAATGGGATCGGGTAATAGATTCCTGTCACTTTCACTACCAGCATTGGCTAGTAAGCATTATACCCAACTTCCTTGATAGATCACTAATCCGATCTAGAGCGGCGTTGAGGACAATGGTTTCATCCTTCCAGAGCAGCTGGACGGCACCCCGGCTCCATCACTGGTGGGACTGAAGTGGATTAGGGAACGCCTGGTGTCGTTGATTCAGGACCATCAGGAGGGCATCCGTGATAAGATGGTGGAGATTGATATGTACACTGACACCCTAGCCCGGTTGAAGAGAGCCAGAGGGGATGATCCCTATTAAATGTTAGTGTATCAAATGTTCATGCCCTTTAGACGTATTTGTACAGATCTTTGACTCAATGTCGAGTTCTGGGTATCACGTTCTGCGTACCAGGCATGAAGCACCAAGGTTAGGAACTAACATAACTAAGGTCCGGGTGTCAAGTACCAAACACTGAACACCAAACACCGAATACCGAATGCCGAGTATCAATGTCTGGGTATCAAGTTCAGTGTATCAAGTTCCGGGTACTGAGCATTGACCATTGAGTTCCAGGTATCGACCATTGAGGTCCGGGCATCAAGTGCCAGGTGTCGAGTACTGACCACTGAACAGTATTGAGTACTGAGTACCGAGCTCCGGGTTCCGGGTTCTGGGTGTTGAGTACCGACTTCCAGGTGTGTGATCTGGGTGCTGAATGCTGAGTGCCGGGCATTGACTACCGAGCTCTGAGTTCCGGGCCTTGAGTACCGAGTGTCGAGTACCGAAACCCGGCATACACATTTTGTAAATTGGACAAATCACTGTACTGAGTCCCGAGTACTGAGTACCGAGTACCGAGCTCCGGGTTCTGGGTTCTGGGCGTTGAGTACCGAACACCGTATACCGATTACCAACTTCTGGGTGTGCAATCCGGGTGCCGAATGCCGAGTGCCGGGCATTGACTACCGAGCTCCGAGTTCCAGGCCTCGAGTACCGAGTGCTGAGTACTGAAACCTGGAATACACATTTTGTAAATTGGACAAATCACTGTACTGAGTACCAAATACCGAGCTCCGAGTGCCGATGTCTGGGTGTTGAGTACCAAACACCGTATACCGATTACCGGCTTCCGGGTGTTTAGTGCCGAATGCCAAGTTCCAGGAGTGGAGTACCGAGGTTCGGGTATCAAATGTCGAACATTTGCCTGTTTGATGCTTGATTATTGGCACTCGAACATTGGTAATTGGTATTTGACAGTAGGTACTATCACATGGGTACTAAGCTATGTGCCTGTTCTATCCTTGCCAGGATGGAGTATGTACGTGATCCATCCTAGCCCATCCACATGAGGGAATCCCAGCATAAATATGAACAGAATCCCTCATGTACCATGCCCAAGCAATTCTATCCCCTTCCACTTCATGAACCCCATGTCTTACGATCCTTCCTGAAAACACGATCATACAGCCGGGCTCGTACATGAACTCCAGCTGAAGACTTGGCATACTCATGCAAGCATTTGAATAACTACCCATGGTGGTGAGAATATTGAAGCATTCAGGAATGGATATGTGGTCTCGATGGTTGGGGGTTTGCCAATTGGAAATGACGGTGAGGGTGTTAAACACAGATGCCCAGTACTGGAGGGTCTCTGACATCCTCAGAAGATTCTTGCTTTCGGCTGATTGTCCGAGGCTTAAAAAGGCTCATATCCCAGCCCAGTACTGCTCAGGATGCATCACCCTGAGTGTGGCTGATGCGATGGCTGCCGGCCTGGCAATGGCTTTGAGAATATTCTCGGAGAATGGTCCCTTCAATGAGGCAGATACCACCAGGTCCAACAGATTCTACTGGATTGGTCAGTGTAACTATCGGAAACCACCATCTCATGAGATCCCACCTCGTGCCCCTGTTGAAACCAAGCCGGAGATAGATTGATGCATCCAGGAGATATGCCATCATTTTCCGAGCTTGGTTTGAACCAATCCTGATTAGTCCGCCAACTCCCATCAACCTTTACACTTTTTGCAAGGCTCAGACTGAGCAAATTGGAGGCTGCCAGAATTTCCTTCTGGAGTTCCCATTTCATATTCCATATCCATCGAGTAACAAAATATATTACCCACCTGGGTGGTTTCCGTCAGGGCATCCGGGAGGTACCACACAATGATGGCGCCAGTAGCATCGAGAACTGTCACGGGTATGTCGACCAACTTTGTACCTTCATGGCCAGGAGGACACCTCTCAAGCAACCTCACCTCTCTTTCTTCATTATGTCCAGTGTCCTTCGGGGAGATCATTTTGCTGTATCTCGCAATATCAATCTGCATCCGAACTGTGAAGCAATTTGAATCATCAAATGGACTGTCCAAATCTGCGGGAAGACCCACTGGGATTGTTATATGCCTTTATGAGGCAATCCACCAATCGATCACAAGCCATCACCAGATTGGTGTCTAGCTTAGGAGAAGGTATGACTGGGTCTCCTCCTGTTTTCTCAGCAATGAATTTCTGTTCAGTATATTCACATGCCTCATGAGTGACTGTCAAGGCCCAAGTGCGCCAGAAGGTTATTTCAATATCAGAGGTGGAAGACACATTCATGATGGTGTTGATCTTGAGAAATCAGATGGTCAATGCTGGATGTCCACAGACTTTAAAGGTGGTGGAGATAGGGTGGATCAGATAGGGAACCTTGATTTTAGCTTTCAAAGATGGATTATCATTTCATTGCTATACTAATATGTCAATGAAATACCGGATAATGGGAAGGGTGCTAGATATCAAATATTTGAGTGTCGGGACCCGGGACCCAGGACTCCCAGATCCCAGAACTCGGTACATGATGGTTGGTTCATTCAAATTTTGGTAGTTGGAACTTAGCTTTCAAAGACGGATTATCATTCATTGCAATGTTAGTATGTCAATGAAATACCAGATCATTGGAAGGGTGCTAGATATCAAATATTTGAGTGTCGAGACCTGGGTCCCAGAACTCAGTACATGATGCTTGGTTCAGTCAAATTTCGGTAGTTGAAACTGACCTTTCTATGATGGATTATCATTCATTGCAATGTTAGTATGTCAATGAAATACCAGATAATTGGAAGGGTGCTAGATATCAAATGTTCGAGTGTCGAGACCCGGGTCCCGGAACTCGGTACATGATGCTCGGTTCATTAAAATTTCAGTAGTCGGAGCTTGGCACTTGGCACTCGATAGTCCCACCTGTCTATATCATATAATAACCTTGGTCCACCCGTCAACATCATATACATCTGGGCCCACCCGTGTATATCATACAACACCCTCGGCTCGGCCCACCCGTCAACATGATGTGTCTGGGCCCACCCATGTATATGATAACAATTAAACTCGATGCCCAGAACTCAGTGCCCGGAACTCGGTACTCGGTACTTCATGATTTGTTCAATTTATGAAATACCCGGAACTCGATATTAGTTACCTGGACATCAATAGACGTTACCTGGAACTCGATAGATGTTACCTGGCCCATGGATATGATATCAACCATCTCAGCCCACCCGTCTATATAATATACTACTACCTCGGCCCATACGTCTATATAATATACTACCACCTTGGCCCATATGTCTATATGATATGTATCTGGGCCCACCCGTATATGTGATATCCAACTACCTCGGCCCACCCATCTATATAATATCTAATAAATTGCTCTCTTGGCCCACCCGTCTATATTATATACCCCCACATCGGCCTACCCGTCTATGCAATATATGACGACCTTCGGCCCACCCATATATATAATAAATATTTTACCGCTCCCTCGGCCCACCCATATATATAATAAATATTTCACCACTCCCTCGGCCCACCTGTCTACAAAATAATACCAATATGTTGGCCCACCCGTCTACAAAATAATCTTAATTCGTCGGCCCACCCGTCTAATATGATATATATCTGGGCCCACCCGTCTATGTGATAACAAGCACCCTTGACATACCCGGCTATTTGATACACATCTACCTTGGTAAACCCATCTACATAATATCCAACTACCTCGGCCCATCCGTCTATTGAATATTTATGTCTATCAGCCCACTCATCTACTCTACATATTCCCTACATGGGCCCACCCATCTCCATCGGGAATAATAACACTCCCGGCCCATCTGTCATAGTCGAGGATATATCTACCTTTGGCCCATGGTCCGCTGGCCCGTATCATATGGGATATTATGCATGTCCATTCACTTGTATAATACGGAGATATGTTACTGCAATATGTGTTGATACTGCGGATGCAAAGTCCACGGGAAATATGCATAAACATGCAAAGAAATGCTGGGGTGCTGAAACTGTCAAATCAGCCAACAAAGCCAAGAACGCAGCAGAGGTGCGTGCGACAATGGTCAAAGGGATCCTGGATCCACAGTCCATAATGGTTGCCTTTGAGTGTAAAGGGAAAGGGAAAGTGACATTCTTGCACCGTCAACATACAAAAACAGAATCATGGGCAGAGATAGTGTGGTGGGTGGCCAAGAGTAAGAGGCCCTTTCAAGTTGTCAGTGATCGTGGCTTCCAAAGCTTAATGAAAATGGGAAGACCAGAATATTACATACCTTCACCCACAACAGTATCTCACAATGTCAGGAAGGTGTTTGCGAATACGTGAAAGCATATTGCAAATATGTTACAGGAGTATGAGGGTGCCCTCAGCTTTGCTACAGATGCATGGACCTCTCCAAACCACAGGGCATTTGTCGCCATGACTGTCCACTTTGAACAGGATGGAGAGCCGGTGTGCTTGATCCTTGATGTTGCTGAAGTAGCGATGTCACACTCAGGTGCTAACCTTGCTGCAGCATTTGCAAAGATCCTTGAAGAGTTTGGGGTGTCTGATAAGGTCAGTTTACATCAAATAGCAGTGGACAGGATACTTACCTGCAGCCAGATACTGTGTATAACCTGTGATAATGCATCTTCAAATGACACCATGGTTGAGGTGCTCAGTGACCTGATTCCCTCATTCCCTGGAGATCCCAACCATGCATGGTGCTTCAACCATGTCATCGCACTCGTAGCAAAAAGTTTGATACATCAATTTGATGTCCCTAAAGGCATGGCAGATGTGGCGCTGGACAAAGCAGAGAGGGAGTTGAGAGATCTTGCCGAGGGTCTTGATATTGAGGATGAGCAGACCAGAGGTGAATGGGAGGGGAAGGAAGATGACAATGATGATATAGGTGATACTGCAGATGGCTGGATCGATGAGGTAGCTAGACTCCCCATGGCTGACCATAACAAACTTGAGGAAAACATAAGGCCTGTCAAGCTGGTGTTGGTTAAAGTCAGTCACTGAACCAAAGTCTTATAGGTGTTGTCATACTTACCTGAATGCTTCCATAGCTACACAAGATTGCATTTGCACTCCTCCACTCAACAACACTTCTCCTGCCCTTGTGGTTTCAAACGCTCCAGAAGCTCAGCCTACCAGAATGGAAAATGCCATGTGATGTAGCAACATTGTTAGACCTTTGACATGCTGGTGTTTGCAATAGAGTATCAGTTAGCCATTGACAGTGTTACAGCAGACAAAAGTGCAAACCTGCACAAGTTCAAGTTGAATAAGGATGAGTGGATCATTGCTGGACAGCTGGACAGCATGTTGAAGGTGCGTGCATTTCTATTTTTAGGATTGATCTTGCGCCACGTTCTCATTACGACTTAGATATTTAAAGATGCAACACTATTTTTCTCTCATTCCACTCCCAGTCTTGCAACTGTGATCCCTGTAATGGATCACATTGACGAAATGCTCACCAACCACTCCCTTAATCATGATTATGAATTATAAATTCATGCTGCCCTAGGGATCGCCAAGAAAACACTCGACTGCTATTACAATGCTACAGATCAATCTGAAGTATATCATATTGCTATGGGTGCTAAGTCTTTTTCTTTCAGAATTGTTATATACTACTAATATAATAACTCTATCTATTGACAGTATTACATCCCCGACACAAACTTAAATACTTCGAGCATGCTGGCTGGGAGCGCGCCTGGATTGATACTGCAGAGGAGATTGTGAGGGATGTCTTCAAACAGTCCTATTCCACACTACATGCATCTGGTATACATGAGGATATACCTGCACCCATAAACAAGCAGGCCAAGGTATGTTTTGTTTCAAACACTTTTGATACTGCTGGTGTGTAACTGATCTTCTATACTAGGTACTTAATATATTCAATGATCTGCCCTCCCTTGCTGCGCCACGTGCTGCAGAAATGCTTGACAAAGTTTCATGCTACCTCAGCACCAATCCAGAGCAAGCCAGGGACGTCCTTCTCTGGTGGCATGAGTAAAAATCTGTATACCCTTGTCTATCCCACACGGCGCTCGACTACTTGTCAATTCCCAGTGAGCTACTAACTTATACTATGGCAATGGTGTTGTCTTATTAATGACATCAGCAACGTCAACCAATGTTGAGCATGTTTTCAGTCAGGGCTGCCTCATTTTGTCTCATGTTTGTAACTGGTTATCTGCACAGTCAACATGTGCTCTCCTCTGTCTCAGAAACTGGAGTCTGCTGAGCTATGTGAAGAACAAGGACATTACCGCTATCACAATTCTACCAGAGGTTGCAGGAGATGATGAGGAGCTTGAAGAAGGCTGGGACATCATAGATTAAATTTTTTAATTTGTTTCATGCTAGTAGCGACTCGGATAACTACAGACTCGTGCTTAGTGTTATTGGTGTACCTGTGTGTTACCTGCTGCGGGTACGGGTATGGGTACACCCAAGGGTATGAACATCTGACCCGTGAAAAAACCCCTACCCCTGGTACAGGTATGGGTTTTCATGGGTAAGGGTATGGGTATAGTCAAAAATACCCATGGGTTACCCATGCAGAACACTACACGCAACACTTGATTGATACTCTCCTTAAACAACTCATTAACTACATCATTCCCTCTGTATGAAATCAGTGTTGGCCTTTGCCCAACAACATGCTGATGGAGTATACATATATCCACTCAACACGAATAAATCATCACAAATTTGTACAATAGTGTGGTGGGAGTAAGCCCCCCATGTATAGGATTATGTCCGACATAGGGTCCTCGACCCCAAAGGACAATAAAATGTATATTTTTTTTAAAAAAAAAACGAAAGAAACTACGAAAAAATACATAAAAATGAAGTTATACTGGAGCCCACTGTTGCCCACAGCGAGCACGAACGTTTCGGCAACGTGCAGAAGCGGTCGGAGAGCGTTGCTTATGTAGCTTACCCAATTCGATTTCACAGCCTCAAGGGATTTGGTGATTTGGGACAGTGTATTACTAAAACCGAGCTTATGAATAGTAGGTACGGCACGTAACAAACCACTATAGTAAGGCTTACTTATTGGGAAACCCAGGTGCCATTGAACAGTCTCCTCGATACAAGTCTCGATTATATGTATCCTCATCTTTCACGCCTGGATGCTCTCGATGATATCGAAGCTAGCAGATCCAATTCAGAGTCCTCCCCTATAACTCGCTACTAGTAACTCACTCGTCGTGCCATCAGCCATACTGCGCCGACGTGAAAGCACACTATTCAGAGCATATCCATATTTGCTACCACACCGGTGAGTCATGTGGTTAAATACAGGACACAAATTACTCATACTCACGCAGGTTTTCTTCAAAGTGCAGCTTTTGCAGTCGTCATTATGCCGGCACAAGTAACAAGTTTCACTGGTAGCGTCACTGGCAGCTACAGATATTGATGCTGTCAAAGCAGCAGCAACGGCGAGGATAAAGGAGAAACGCATTGTTTGTGAGGATGTGATATGGGATTCAATAAATCTGAAGGGGATAGTAGGAAGACGCCTTGCTTTTATATGCTGAATTTGTTCTTCATGGCGATGTAGGAAGAACCTATCTACCTGAAATCCCTTTTCGAACAGATGATATCTGCAATGCCAGTAGAACGCCACCTAAAATTGTACGTATTCAGTGACATTTGCACTGGAATGCGGGCTGACTTTACGAACGTGCACATTTGCAGTGTGCAGAGACGGTCAAGGAATCCACGATGTTTTCGCCGAAGTATTGGACTTACAAATTGTCGACCCTTTCCGTGTTCGATATGGTGCTATACTAGAGGTGACGACACGACACGATTCCACAGTGGATTTTACGCCACGCAGGTGCAGCCCTGAACACGAGCGAACGCCGCGCCGATCCATGGCCCTCCGTTTCTCCAGAGGATTATGCGTTCTCCGCGCTGACCTGTCGCTCCTCAACGGAAGTGCAGAGCCTAAAGATGGTGTCTTTCTTACGTCCGCTGAGTCGACTGCGATTAATATTAGGGAACGACCAAGTAGTATGTGAAAATTCCTAGGACAGGTGACATCTTCAATTCTCTAATGAACCTGCATCTATCGTGTACGGCGAGAGCGGCCATCGTGCCGACGAAGATGAACCGGACGTCTCTGAGGATAACATAGCCCATCGCGTCCTGGATCTGTTGCACCATCACGATCTCATTCTATTACGCCGTCACGCTCTTGAATTTGATATTCGTTGTCCTTGGATGACTTCAATGCGTCCGAACGGTTTGTCACAAGACTCAATAAGCTGCCTAACTCCACGCTGCGTGACGCGCTGAGAAAGATACATCCCGAAAGTACACCTGATATGAGCGGACGATCAAAAAACCGGTATACTCGTGCGTTCTACTTTGTTTCTCAACTTACCTGCGTTCTTCTTGGCCTCGATGATGCATTGTTTGTGCAGCATTGTTCTTGACTTCGCGCCTTATATCATGCAAGGCTTGGAACCGACAGAACAACCTGAAGGATGATCTGAAAGACGTGATCCACATGCACGGAATCACTTTGCAACGTCTCACAACTTATTCTAATGCTTATCAAATCCTGTACTTACCCAGACTTGGAACCGCCCGATTTCACTGATAGTTCCAGTTCAGTGTCATTTTCTTTCTAATATTACATCCTGTACTTACCGTAACACGATTTGAATTGTCCACTTTGCTTGAATGAATCAAACGAGTTGGGGATGGGTACCGCCGCTAGTCGAGGAGCCTCGGCCTTGTCTGTCCGAAAACCCAAAAAGCTGTGCACCTCGGCTGCTTCCGCTTGGGTGCTGGGTGTCGACTGTGGACGTGCTTTTCGAGACGCAAAAGGATAACATATACATGTCTGTCCTTCTACGAAGAGCATATCGGCTGGCCGAGGAACGAGACCGAGCGGCGGTATGCTCCCTGCCCTGTGTCAGGGTGCACACTGGCAGTGTACGTGCTTATGCAACACATGAAGTTGAGTTTCAAAAAATCAATAGGTACCAAGTGTAATCTCGATAAATTTTGCTTGAAGCTGGCATTATAATTATACCAATCGGAGTTGGGGACTTGGTGCCGGTCCACACAATATGAGTAGGTACATTTCCGCCACCCTGGAAGTTCCTTTTGGTTAAATATTTTAAAGGTGCTCTGCGCATGATCGCAATGGTTATAGTCTGATAGAAGATATAATGTGCAGGGATGAGTCGAAGTGTGAACAGGGGGACAGGGTACCTTCTATAAGCGAACGCAACATGAACGACTGCGTAATAATTGTTCGTTGGGGCAAATGCAGAAACGCTTCTCGACCGCAAGACTACCGCAGATGTTGAGGGGACACGGCTCAGAGAATATGTTTCCCTGTATGATCGGTCGGGTGTGGGAAGTGGTCCGAGTCGTCGGTCTCTGCCTATGAGAACGCCTGCGTGGATGGTCATCTTGCACTGCGCGGCAGTGGACATGGAAAAAACAGACACGTCGAATGCGGTGTTCTTGCACACACTGAACCGCTGAGAGCCATGAGCTGCAAGAGATCTTTGTTTCTGTAACTATCTAGCGTTATAACATTCTTATCTGGCAAAGTAAGAAAAGGCTCGCATCGCATGAGCGACGTGTAGCTCTTGTCGGAGTGTTGCGTCTGCGCAAGACTCAACACAAGTGGGTAGAGCCTTCGCGCGAAGCGTCGAGAGTTTCGCAGAAGTAGATGATACGGGTCAGCTCATCAAGGACAGTAATGTCAGGACAAAGGCAACGCACGGTTCTGAATACCGAAGGGACGCATCTTACCGTTGTTGGTAAAGGAGATGTACATATTCCCCAAGTCTAAAATAACCTCTCTGAACCTCCACAAACATCGCGATGTATCCGATTACCTTGTTCTCCGTGTCAAATACAGTTACCTTAGTAGACGCATCACTGTCTCCCCCTCCCACAACTGCCACAAGCTCACTCGTAGCAGATGATGTCTCTGAAACCGTTGAGGGTGATGAGATAACTATCACATAGTTACAGTTGGTTGTGGATGGATGACATGTACTGTGGAAGGCAAAGCATCAGCTCCCAGCACATAAGCTCGTACCAACAACCTACCTTCGTATGCATACGGGGGCTCCCTCCCCTGAGACCATACGCATACACTGCCTCGTCTCTCGTAGCACGACGTTCTCAGCAAGCCAATCCATCACCTACATCCGATGTCGTGCAGCAGGATGCTAGACCCTCCACTCTCTTTTCCGAACACGTGGCACGAGTATACTGAGTTCGTCGTCACAATGAACAGATACAAGTTGTGATTGGTATCGGTGTTAGTGGGAGGTTCTCGGGGCCGGTGATGGGTTCAGAGGAAGATTCATGGATGGTGCATGTCTTAGGGGAGATGTGGTAGGAGATTGTGTCTGATCCAACTACCTGTGAAGCAGCACCGTCCCGTTGGCCAATACGATGGCAAGGACAGTAGCGTAGAAGAAAGTGCAAAACAAGAGACCTAAATATCCAAGCTCACCAAATGAAACTCGAACACAGTGAACTACTCACTAGATAGGGCTTAGACTTATTGCAATGCTGGACCTTGGCAGATCTCAACAAAACTGGTTCATGGTTTCTCTTGTCCGTCTTCCCAAGGTCCCAAGTCGACAGCAAACTATCTCGTACCACGTCCTCCTCACTAATAGTCACCGACACACGAAGTATTCCTCTCCGCCGTGTGCGTTATCCGTTCTCTGACACTCGTGCGATTCAGCTCTCGATACAGAATCCCTGTTTAGAATGTGCACACAGCCATGAACATCCGCAATGAGCAACCCAGCACTGGAGGAGACGATGGTGGTAGTTTCTGAGGCTTTTTTAAAAATGTCGGGTGAGCTAGCAAGGTCATGGTCCATGGACGTCCTTCGATGAGGGGGTACCCCCCTTCCAGATTATGTAGGTCAGATTCAGAATCAACGTATCCAGGAATCCTTACCATCATACATTGATTCAAGTGGCTCTCACATTCCTCGGGCACCCACGCTACTCGAACAACATAGGTTCCTGCCTGGCGACCGTTCCACATGGCGACTCACTGTGTTGGCCTCAATTTACATTCGAGGTATGACCCCCATCCAAGCTTTCCTGCAAATTCTCATTGCCGGCAGCCACCAGCAACCTTGTTCGTCATCGAGACCATCTGAGAGGGTCGTTTCTTAAGCTGTAAGCCTATCACTGGCAGTAGATTATCCATTGTGTTGTGTTCAGCTGACCGAGATATGAGTCCCACCATTGGGCACAATATTACAGCCATTTGCAAATGTAATGGTACTGGCACCTCGATGCAAAACAACTGATAACATAGACCACAAAAGGACTTGATGATATTTTGAAGGCTTGAGTTGTAGTACCGTGAGTCCGTGACGTCTCAGATCTCAGCTTCTGAATCTACTACGACACATATGGGTTGTGACCCGAAGACATTCAAAAGTGCAGAGTTCATCAATGACTCCGATAGCTCGGATGACGATGGCAGCGTCCTTGACATCTCATCAACATCTTCCGATTCCGATAGCTCAGGGTCATCAACAGCATTTGGATCGGGGGCAAAATGGAGGTCTTCGAGATTGAAAACGCGTGGACGACCAGTGTATTGGCTCCTTGGCTTGACAACATTGCCAGTCTCGTTGTAGAGCTTCTTGATTCTATAAAATGACATGCGGGAGAAGCCAACACAGTCGAGGATCTCGCAGAGTCTAAGAATTCCTTGTTCATGCAGACGAATAGCTGCGAGCTTCAAATCGGACGAGATCTTTCTGTTGCCCATGATATTGATGATTGTGGTATGCAACTCTTGTAAAATTTACGCCAAGTCTTTTTTCGGTCTATGTCATCTTTCATTTTACATCGAGGCGCCAATACACGCCCTCAGGCTATGGGTTTGTGATTATATTTTGCAAATAGTTTTCAAAGTCCGAGATAATTTATTCCGCATTGTTTTGCCTGCGGATAGTCATCCGATACTTGGCAGTAACTGCCCTCCCCAAACTATGATCGGAGCAGTATTCGGAAGCATTCTAGCTCAGTACAAATTGAAACTTTATCGATGTCGCTGTGGTTCAGGACTAGCTATGGACGGTATGGTATCCTTCACTGAAATTCGCCGTCTGTCAAATATGGCTAAAGGTGACCCTCTAGGAAATGCGGTGCGGGGGAACCGTCTAAACGATGCAGTCCTACCGCAATCATTGTTTCTGCGTAAATGATACTAGGCTGTTCACGGTTACGTGTGGACTTCGTACGGTCGACGTCCGCACCTCATACGGCCGTATACTGTATACGGTACAGTGAATAGCCCTAAATGATACTTCTCGTTTCTTAATAAACACGTCAAAGTGCAAAGTCTGGAGCTTAAGGCCACATCTCATTACTCCTGAGGTCCTCGGGAGTCTACAATTGTAATGGGTCTAGACTCCAGCTGGGCGCTCCCAGGCTCTTTCATTCGTGGTCCAGACTACCGGCGAGCAGTGATGAGGGACTTGTAGATACCTGCATTGGGCATAACGAACAAACCTGTCTTTGCTTCCGGTGTGTGCTGTGTCCAGAAAGGATCACACCGCCTGATGCACTTACGTACCAGAGCAGAATAGTATTATTCCGGTACAATCTGAGTGATCGCTCGGCGATTACTCACTTCATTCTTCGCGAGTAATACACATGAAATGACACCTTAGAACGCTGGGAGAACTGCTATCGCGATGTTCTTGTGCCATTTCATCATAGGCTTTGCAACAGCTTTCAATCCTCCGGTACGATTTTAGCACGGCCTAGGCCGTTCTATTTTCTCGCAAGGGCGTCTTCGTTGCCTGAACTATATGATTTACCCCGCTGACGTTATACATAGAACTTTCCCTACAGCAACTGCACAACACGACAGCAGAAGCAATGGATATTCCTTCGCACATCCATCTCGAGATCCAGCCCCTGACCTGGACCATCGACATACTAGTAAGTATAATCCTGCTGTAAAAGTTGTAACTTTGCTCGGGGTCTAGACTCCTTGGGCGCTTAGTCCAACAAATGAGTGCAGGGGTGTGATGAATGGTAACAAAACTTGTTTTGCCCCGCTTCTCTTATTGCTGCTTTGGCTTTGGCTTTTATTTTTCCTGTCTAGTTCTAGATCCATGGCCCACGAATGGTCTGGGCCAATGGGCCATTGTCACGAATGTGGTGTATTTATCCATCAAATTCTTTCTGACATTCCGTCAGCGGGGCCAAACTACAGGAAACTGCGAATGTATAATTTAACTACCTATGGGCTTTAATAAGTTCCCTCCGCAGCAGTTATTGGTCCCACACGCCGTCGAGACATTCGGGAACTTTGTCTGGCTGCGGAAGTCATAGTTGCATTTCTCCTATCTGTATAAAAGTGTTCCAGACTTTTGGTTTCTTCACCCATTTCTTCATCTTCTGCGCGATGACATTCCAGCGTAAAACTGTTACATCATCTCAAAACACGATTTTTCCTACTCCCCAGCTTATATCTCCTGCGCTTGCAAGAGACTTGGAGGACTGCAGGAAGACCTCTCTGAATCTAGTGAGTAGCCATGCTGTTGAAATCCGCAGTTGCTTACTCTACCTCCTTCTAATAGCTCATGGCATTTCTAGCGTCAGTTCAATTGTGATGGTTGATTCCTGACGCTCCCACCAACAACGTGCTATCTCTGCAGCCTTCAGTCGATCACAGGATCTGGAGGCCTTACAATGGCTACCCTCACGCTAATGCTATACACCATCAGTCTACACATCGCTACTAGCGTGGGCGCTTCTCATGTAAGGCGTTTCACGTCGTTCTTGCGCGCACAGCACCTAACACCAATCCCCACAGCAGCTCGGAGCGGTTATTTTTGGAATTTTGCATGTCATCCCAGCAGTTGGAATTTTTGCGGTGATGTCGGTGGAGTTGGCGTTTGCAGTCAAATCACCGGCAATGGCGATTTTAATCGTCATATTTTGTTTCCTTCCCACCATGGTTGCTATCTTTCAGTGCCTCCGCATGCGTTGCATGAAGGTAATCATGGATCAGCTCCCGATGGCCATCCCCGGGGACCTCCCGTCAGAAGAACCATCCATAGCGAGATTAGAGCTCACTATCTCTGCATAGTTCATTCCCCTTCCTTTCTTGATTTACCCCCTCCCCACCGGGAGGATCATACCCTCGATTACTTCTACGATCTGAACGACTCATACAAAGTAAATGCTTCAATAGTGATTTATAGATACATCCCTTGGCTATGTGAATAGTACATCTAACAAAACAGCATTATGTAGCATAACTTATCCTCTTCCACTAGTACCGATACACCAGTCGCTTACATATCCCACTCATCCCATATACCTTCCATCGGCGTGGTCGTCATCGGTGTCTGTGCAGAGCTGAATTCTGCGGTTTGAACAAGTTCTATTATCTTGTCACTGACTCCATCCTTGTCGTCCTTGGTCCCACGCATCGCCACGAGCAGCGTGTCATCGACCGGGTAAGATTTCAGGTTCGTGTGTAGCAATAGGCGAATGTCATTCCCTTCAATGACTTGGTCAAGCCTGCCCGTAGAGAGGCTCCGAATTTCAATGAACTCAGAGGAGAACAGCAGCACGTGAGACCCGCGATGGGCAAAAGACATAGCCTTCGTCTCCCAGCGGATAAACCCGCCTTTCCGAGAGGGAACGCCGTGCTTCGTGATGTAGCATCCGAGAGCTATGGAGGTACAATGAACGATAGTCACAATTCCAATGAAAAAGACTTACTGTCATAAACGACCAATATTTCGCCCGATTCGGTCCGAATTAAGCCGAGGGGCTTAGACTCCTCGCAGCGAGTCTTCAGGTTGGCCATGTCTGTGTTGGAAGTTGCACCGCTGAAGTCCGGGACAACCGAGACCATCTGTTTGGATGTGCTATAATGTTACATTAATAGAGCATACAGGACGAGTAATGAGCGGCATACTTGGTAGGATCAGCAATCACAATACCCTTCTCTGTGCTAATCGCAATTGTCTTGGCCAGTGGGGTAACAGAGTAGGCATCTTTTGGCACGTACAATGCCTGGATCGAAATATTGAGTATACGAAGCACTGATAATTATATCGACTCACTTCGCCGAACGGTCTAAATGATGATATAGGACCCTGAAAGCTTCCTCGTGACGGAGTGCGGCGAAGGTCAGAAAGGTTGCAGGCCTCCAATGCATGCACGGTAATTTGAAAGAATGATTTAAGAGCATAAACAACTGGTCAGAGATGTGAGTCCCCAGGTGTCATGTGAGTTAGGTTAAATCATACTGATTGTTCGCTGTTTTATGCGTCCTGCACAACAGAATAAGACGGTGCCATCTCCCCCTGCAATTTTCTCCAATGAAGCGTCCAAGCTACTTGGCGGGGCCTGATACATTGCGACTCTAGCGAGAAGATCCAAGGAATAGGCGAGCAGATAGCTCTCATGATGCACGATGAACTTATTGAATTCTTGTAACACTATGATCGAGGAAGGATTGCCGTACGACAATATCCTGCGGAAGTCTGGAGGCGAAGATCAGCGACACAGCAAGAATAATGTGTAAACGATTCATACTGATATCGCCCCTTGAGCCAACATATATTCCAGTTGCGCAGCCGACCGCCATGAGCTTCTTTCCGCCGGCAGCAGCTAGACAAATTATCGACTGTGAACAATTGTCCACGAGAAAAGGGAACGAGGTCGCATACTAAAAGATACAGCATTGGCAACCCTCCCTGATGCTTGAGATCCAAAGCCGCGGGGAAGTGTGAGCTCCTGGTGACCGGAAAGTGCCATCATCAACAAGTTGCGGTGCAAACCACTAATCGCATGGTTGAATACGAGCATATCGTAATTATGGATGTACACACCTTGTTTGCATCTCGTCGCACATCATCTATTCCCTTGGCCTCAACAAGGGCATCCCGCCACTTCTGTCTCGCCGACTCGGTCGGCGCATACAGAGTATACCGCCGCACCAATTTGTCTGCGGAATGATAAACAGTGAATGGATATATAGATTTGTATTGCGCGCGTAAGCTGTCCAAGATCCCTCCTTCCTCAGACCGTTCCTTCCTACTTTCTGGCTGTGCTTCGAAGCTTCCTAGTTTGAGATATTCTAAGGGTATAGGCTACAGAAAAAAGTACACCCAAAATGTGAATGAAATCGGCGACAAGCGACTGGATGGCCTTACTCTAGACATAATGTAGCGCTTCATGATTCCTCCCGCCCCTTTCTCCTCTTTAGTGAGCAACACTGCGATGGATCGGTGATTTCAAGTCGAACGAGAGGCAAACAGAAGACTTACGATAGTTATCGAGTAGAGCAACGAATAAATCATTCCATGGATGCCAGTCCATTTCGGACTTGGACCTTCGTGCGAGGGGGCCAGAGTACACCAGTGACCGACTTTCGTCATACCAATCCAAATCCTGCACTCGATCAGCACAAGAACGAAAGGATGCTCACGTAACGTACAATTATTTCTCCCTTGGGCATCACTAAGCTTTCACAGACATTCCAATATTTTACTCTATTCTCTGCAGCTGCAATACCAGGTTGAGTGCTCTTGAGGAAGTCGCTCAAGATGCTTAACAGAAGCGGCAGGTCTTCAAGATCTGGATGGCCTGGCTCCGTGATCTTCTGAATATGCTCGAGGATCAGATTCAGGCGTGGGAGGCGAGTCACTGGTCGGGAAAGGAAGGTGATCATATCGCGCTTGCGCACCCGAGGATCTTGAGAACATCGTTGCATGAACGCTTGATAGTTTTTTATTGCGACTAAGTTCAGTGCGGTGCCGCTCTTCTGCAAGTGGATAATGTTTGATGTAGGATTCGTACTCCCCTTGGAACTGAAAACAGGCTAAAAGACATTAAAGGTGAGCTATTGAGTATATTGCTCGCCAACTCACTTTCAAGAACAATGTCAGTCACGCTCTGTATTAGCGGATGCTGATCCAATTGGCGTTCAAAGAGCGCAGCCAGCATATGCTCATGGTGCACTAAGATCCGATCCAAATTCCAAAATACCTCTTGAACAAAGGACGTAACTTGTCGGGAGCGATGACAGGGGGGTTGGCGAACTTCAAAGGCTCGATGAAAACCTGTGACAACATGTTAGCTGAATTCAATTTCGCAGCAGCAGATATCACCTCCGTCACAAGTTTGAGATCTTCCACGTAGTTTCTTTCTGACTTGAAAACCTCGAACAGAACTGATTGCCGCTCGACCTCTTTTTTACCGAGTGCTTCCTGTGCCTCGTGAGGAACCAGTCTGTGCCATTCTTCATCCTTTTCTGCTAATTGACCGGCTTGAAATCGTCTTAAGCCCTCCTCGGATTGAAGGCTGTTTCTTATCGATGACTATTTCATTGAAAAAAATATCCCGGTACTCACGAAACATTGGATAGTTCCCGAGTCAGCTGATTTACTTGCGTGTCCCACTGTGGAGGGCATCAGAATACGTCATCGTTGGCGTGATATTTCACACCGTACATCGTCTTCCGGAAGGTAATCCATGGATGAAGCCGAGTCTGGTGTTAACGGGGTAAAGGGGCACTAGTCGCATAGTCTCTACTCTGTGGCAGAGAGCCATGACCGTCATCAGACTTGGTGGGACGGTGGCGGGGTGAATT